ATTGCACGCTCTTCCTCTCAGCGTGGAAACTTACTTCGGCCCTTCCCTGTAGCTGCCCAAAGCGCTACGTTCCAACCGGTTATTTAGTTGGCATATCAGGATCGCCTCACGATCCAGACAGGTCGCCCCCTTGTTGTAACTCGTCCCGTTTCTACAATTAATTACCATTTCATGTATTCCTAGTTTCCATCTCTTCACATTATACCATATTGCCTACCTAACGTTTCTGCTTGCCCTGCGTATACACGAGAAATGTGACAAGGTAACAGCTCTACTCCGATTGGTCTTCGTTAAGACCTATGCCTAGTGCTTCGCTACCTCGGTATGTGTTATCTCTGACGTCCTCGACTGTTATATTGTGGGCAGTGGTGGGATGGAGAGGGTCACAGAGCTCGCCCTTTCGAGTACCAACTTCGGCAGCACTGAGGACCAGACGAAGATACAAAGTTACCGGGGCGACTTCTTATCATTTGCATCTTAACACCAAAGGTTGAAATGGGAATTTTTGACACAGTCCAGGTCCTATGATTATGTCTAAATTGGGATTTGTGGGACCATCCTCCAGTACGTGAAGTCGCTTATCCATTATTTTTAGCACAACTAATTAATAATGCTGCACGTTTCCACAGATATTTTTGGTACATTCCTTGCAAATACCACCACATAGTTACTGTAAGTAAATTACTTCTAGTTATTTGTTTTCAGAGGATTGGATTGGACTACGCGCCTGCTGAAATTTCCGCCTTCGGATTTTTCGTAGGGATATAGCCGAAAGCCGGATAAAGTTGGCAAGGCCGGTAAGACGGAAAATAGATTGGAACCTTCTATAAAATTTCGATGGCACTAGGCCACTTTACCTTATACAGTCCATTATTGGGACGTTGGTCACCATGGCCGTCTAAGTAGACCCACCAAAAATAAACACGACTGATTGTTGCTATTTTCAACCTGATTTCCCAGGAACTCCCAGACTTAATTTGTACTATAAGCGTTAGAATAAGACAATCCATATGTCACAACACGCAGCCCTTAAGTAATAACACGCCTGATGTGAAATCCCCGAGTTTGAAAAAAGTACTGGGCTCCTCTAAAATCCGGAATCTGACGCATGACATTTCGCTCTGTTTAGTACAATTCACTGTCAAAAGGACTATTGGGATTTTCGCTCTGAACGCGGGGAAGCTAAAAAAGTCACAATAAGTGTTGCATCTCTGAAGATGATAAGTCGAAGAAAAAAGTATTTGATCGATAATTCCCAGAACGATAGTGAAGAATGACCAAATGTTTATGATTGTACTTTTTTCAAAAACCAACGGTCCGTTTGACTAAGCTAGATTATAGTAATCTTAAGGAATTCGCTGTATTACAAGGCAATTGAGTTTGAATTCCGGTTCTACAATAGATACGTTGGTCGATTTTTCTTAACTGATATCCACCTCTTTGATCGAAAAGAAAGAAATAATACAAGATATGGCCTACCTAGGGGTAAACATAAACATTTCGACTTATGACTGCTTTTCAGTTAGACCACGCTTTTTCATCCGTGACTTTTTAGATGAGGGCATTGGCAACAATATGGAGGTGGAGCTTCAACCCCTAGGTTTAACAGCTGACGGTACTTTAGTCAATATCCATCTGAGATGGCCATTCTTTGATGATTGATTATTGATGATTGATAATTTTCATTTAATGCCAGTTTACAGGCATTGTCAGGAAAGCGTTAAACACAAATCCGGCTAGCAGTGAAAAAAAAAACTTCTGTGGGAAAGGAATAAAAATGAATTTGATGATTTTTATGGTTTGGAGGGTTCAGGAGAAAAAAAGATGCTGGCGACAAACTTTTGACCGTCAAGAAGGGAGGGGCTGCACGGTATCGGATATTATCAGTCGCCAATTTCTTTTATGAAGTTGGTGCTAGTCCAACCAGAAGCGCCGAAGAACATCTGCAGCTGTTGGCCAAAGAAATTGTCCCTGGTGAGACCAGCCATAGTGTTCAGAGACCACAAACGCCATCGCTACGGTACAGTCGATCAGTGGATCCAGTACCTAAAATTTGTGGGAGCTTTTCTGAATGCAAACATCGAGTTATAGTTCTCTTAAATAAAGGATAATTTTGCAGAGTTTTCCCACTCATGGGTAGTTTATTCCAAATAGCAATTGCATTTACAGAAAAGAACCGACGATATTTAACAGTACGTGACAGAGGAAGAAATAAAAAGACTTCACGGTGTCTGTTGCGTTGGGGGTGGGCATGATGTCTTAGAGAGGTGAGTGGATTAAATGTGTGATAATATAAGAGCTTAAATAGCAAAAATAGTCCCTCTTGGAATCTACGGAACCATAACGGATCAAGGCCTGTAAGCCAGCAACGGTTTTGGTAAGACAAATGTCGGTGTACGCGGGTTAAAACTCTCCTGGTAAAAAAAAGTGTTAAACGGATTCTATTTTTTCAGCTCAGTAGCACGCATGAGGCTGAATAAAAACGAACACTATTCCAGGCCAATACTCCTTCTTATTAACAACGACAGGAACAATCTTATTATTTTAAAACGCCTTCTTATTTAGCTGCACCGACTCCTTGCCTGTCAATAAACAATAATTATTATGATGAAGTAAATCTGAGCAACCTGGAACGATTTCTTGTGAAATATACACTCCAGAGCCTCAGGCTGAGTGCTTCTAATTCCAATACACATGTTTAGTCATCTACTACGACATACCAATATGCTCGATTTCGTTAATTTTGACAAATTCAAAAGGACACCCTGACCAACTTATCCACGTTACATCAGACAATACTTCAGCACATTTTCTAATATAAAAATCTGACGCGCCCAACTCTATCACGATAAACCTAAGGTCTTGTTGTAGAAGGCTACCAGCTGACTAGACGACTCGGCCCTCTCAGTATGGACGGTCAGGCTCGAGGATTCCTTCTAGGTATGCTTTATATGACCCCTATAAGCACTTGAGATCCGAGCCATGCCCTTTTTCAAAGCAGGTCTTGTGTGGCACGCATAGATGGACAGTTAACTATTGTCAGTGATAATGTCTCCGGTCGTCTTCATTCTGCCTTGCCAGTGGTCCCACGTAGGAGCGGGGAGAGCGAGTGCGGCTTATGTTCCGAAAGTCTATGATCACTATAATCTAATTCATACACGACTCACGTCCCGCGTCCACTATGATGTGGGACAAACATTGGACATTACCGTTCACGAAGAATGAAACGGCGGCAGCAAGCTGCACATTTAGGGTTCCCTCTGGAAACAACTTAACATCCTGTCGACGAAGCGAATCCAGTTTTACCCTTAATATTTCCATAATGTTACCCGAAATGCCCACCAGTAAATTGTGAAAAGATGGTTCGGAAGGCACTTAGTACTTTACACTGGGTCAAAAGTGCATTTTAAATATTTTCTATAGAGTTCTTCGGAAGACATTTCGGCGTTCCTCAAAGCCCCCACTCAGAATATGGAATATCATTCGTTACACCATGAATGAGGAAGGATAATGGCTCATTAGAACAGGTGCAACGTAGAACAGCGAAGAAGGTCGGTGGTCTAAAGCACTTATCGTGCCAGGAAAGGCTACATGTGCTTGACTTAGTTCCTCTATCACATAGGCAACTAAATTGCAGTCTACTCTAGACATTCCGGATTGTCCGCGGCCATGGTTGCTCAGTTAGACCGTGGGAATCCTTCAAGTTTGCCCGTACTAACCAATCACGCGGCCATTCCTCCGAAATCAACGGCGAACGCACGCAACTAGACCGTAGTGAGTTTTTGTTCAGCCGACCATGGAACTCACTACTAAGTGACACGCTGACGGCCGACACCATTCACGTGTTTTAGAAATGATGTGCTCGTGTGATCTTCGACAAAGATTGACTTCTGCAATATGAATACTCAAATGCAGCTCACCTAGGGCTCTGCCTGTAACCCTTCAAAAACATGCATATATAATTACATCTTACTGTTCGCTGAAAGAAGAGCAGAATAGACTGGTTAATAAATAAACTGCATGTGATTATTTGAATTGTGTGCAAATTGTCATATATGCTCGTATGGATTAACGAAGTCTACACGCCTGACTAATGATAATTTAAATTTTATCAGTTCTCCGAATTTCAAAATTTTTAATCTTTTAACGTGT